TAGTAAGACATCTTTGAATATAAAGTTCTGCATTTAAGGCTTCTCCCCGAACACCACCAACATACGACTGTGAGATAAATCCTGCTTCAGAAATGGCACACCACACTAAAATTTTATCCTCAAATTTCGATTTACCTTTAAATTTAACATTGTCTGGTGTATTTTCTATGTTATCGGTATAAAACCCATCGTTTTCTTTAATCTCTGATTGGGATAAGGTAAAATATTTTTCATCATCCATTACAATCAATTTATTGGCAAAGTGGATACGCCTTAATGCGCGGCAACAACGCGAAATTCTTTCTAGCTGGTCTGCGGTGTATTTTGGTGCCTTTATTCTTTTCCTAAACACTAAGTTTGTGCGATCAATTTTTCTTAATACAGTGGTTTTCGAAATACCAAATCTCCGGGCTAATTTTCTCTGAGAAACTCCAACTTTGTCTTTAGCAGCTTCCATCAGTCTTCTTTCTTTTCTTACACTCAAAATTCTTGGTCTACCGCTTTTGGGTAAATTAATGCATGGTATACCCTCTTCACAATTCCTTTGTGTTGTAAATGGTTGACTTACTTATATTTTGCTCTTGGTAGATTACAACAATATCATGCTTGGGTATTCGTCCAACTAGATTGTAAATGCCCTTACGAATATCTAATTTGTAAGACATTTTGCTACAATCGATTTCCAAAACTAAACTGTCATAATCAAACTTGATTACGTGTGACGTTTTAGTTTCAATGGCAACTTGATTAAACAACATTGGGTACAAAAATAAATAATTTAAACATTTTCCAAAAACTTTAGGACCATACGTTATTATTATTTTATTATTATATCAGAATTCAAAATATTTTAATAACATTTAATTAAATAATTTTAAAACATTTTGTTTTTAATAAAGGACCTGTGGATTCGTTATCGTTTCCACAGAAGGCTTTAGCGCTCACTATGGGGCTATGACACCCCCGTTGATAATTTTATAAACCATTGGTATAATTTTATATAATTATGTTATAGTGTTGATGTAAAAATTTCTAAATAAATAAACCAAAAAAGTTATTTAATATTTTTTATTACAGAATGAAAACCTCTACCTTTCTTCTACTTTTAATTTTACTTATTTTTGGCCAAGCTAATGCAGCATTTCGTCCCTGGTGTTTTTTGAAAAATGTTTGTCAGCAAGATGATGATGAAGATGATTCAATGGAGAAATTTCTTAAAAAACTCTACAATTCTATTGAAGCTGTAAAAGAACATTTGAAAGAAACTGATAGTAAATTGGAAGCATACCGAAAGAATAGTATTAAACCTGACAGTATTCAACCAAAATATTTTGAATCGAGGATTAAGGAAACTGAAGACAAATTCAAAAAGTCTTTAGAAATAGTTGAAACCAGATTAAGAGACGAAATTAAAACACAGTTAATAGAGACTAAAAAAATAACAAAAGATGAAAATAAACTTCAAATCGAAATAGAAATCCTGAAAGAAAAATTCGATTATATTTACTGGATCATCATGCTACTTATATTTTCTACGTTCTGTTTCCTTTTTATATATTTGGTTAACGTGTGTTTAAACTTTTTTGCGCTTAGGAGGGCCAAGAAGAATATTTGGAAATGTTTCTGTCAAGGAAGTATTAATAAAATATATTTGAATCTGTCAAGAAAAGAGGAAGAACCAGCAAATTTAAATATAAAAGAAAATATTGAAAACAGTTATGATTACATAGTCACTGCAGAATATGAAGAAAATATATTATATAGAAAATGAGTGACTAATATAAAAATTGTATATAATTATATTTGTATCATGAATAAAGGCTATAATTATTTGATTTATAAATTAATGACATCAACCTATTAACATTAACTTATTAACATCAGTTTTGGAACAATAAATGTGATTCTTGATATATTAGTTTCTGCATTAAGAGTGGATATAACATAGCCATAGCGCATGAAGACGAAATTTGAGCAAGACGCCGTAGGCAGAGAATTTAATTATCTGAGTGTGATATAGACAATCTTCTCTAGTTAAACATTTTATTTTTTCCACAGCTAACTGGAGAAGAACTATAAAATTTAAAAAAATATATAATTTTTTTAAACATATAGATCTAGGGCGAAGCGAATTACAATTTAAAAATATATACTACATATCATAATTGAGGAGCAACTATCCAAAATGCGTTAAATCCATTTTTTATTACTTTTTAGGTAAATGAAAGAATGTAGTGTATTTTAGTCAATCTATCATCATGATAATCCAATTCTATTAAAGTGCTTTAAATCCAATAGAAATAGGCATAATGAGATCACTTAACTAAGAAAAACGCATTAGATCCATTTTTCAGTGAAGCAAAACGCATTTAATCCAGTCGTGTTTAAGCAAAGCGCAATAAATCCATAAAAAATATTTCTCATGTAATTCATTACTACTTAAAAAAACAATCGCCTGAGAGCTTAGCTGAGATTAATATTACCTTTCAAGTAAGAGGACATAGTTTCTTACCCGCCGATAGGGTATTTCGTCGAGTGGAGAAAGATTTAAGAAAGCACAGCTGAGACTCCAAAAACCCTTTTTAAAAAAGGTAAAAAAAGATTCCGAGTTAAAAAGGGAAGCTTTTAAACTTAGAAGACCACTTAAGGAGAAAAAGAAAAAATGATTGAAGCACTTATTAGCCCAAAAGTATGGTGAAGATAATCTAGTATGGTACAAAACTATTTTACAAACTAGTGAAGATGAAATAGAGGAAGAACAAGGCGAGGCCGAAAATGATTTTATTTCTTCATTTTCGTTAATAAAATCAGTTTTTCACTAAAGTTTTAGATTTTATTCGCTTTGTAAATAATGTAAAATTAATCACTTTAAGCAAAACGCAATGTATCCAAATATGAATTAAGCAAAAAGAAATAAATCCACACTAACTAGGCAAAATGGCATATATCCATATTCTAGTTGAGCAAAACGAAGTAAATCCATTAAAAAAATACACATATTGTGGAAAAAATCCTAAATTTGAACTAAAACTTAAAATATTTCTCTTTAAAACTGTTATTTATATCATTCTGCATTAGATAAAAATTGTAGTTTTTCTAGTTTTTTAAGTTTTACTCAAAACAACATATTATGGATTTAATGCATTTTGGATAGTTGCTCCTCAATTATAATTTTTCATATCGCTCCCTTTATAGAAGAAGGTCATATCTCAAAAATTTGCATTTTTTAGATAACACGTAAAAACAACAAATAATATAACCAAATTTTATGTGTAAGACCGTCACAACTTGTATCTCACATCGTTAGCGATAGAAGACGCTAGTGTCGTATGGCACTTATCGGAAATCATATGATCCATTATGTGAAAGAACGTCAGTTCTAATTTAATTCGCGAAGGAGACTGTTGTTTTAGTCCTAATTTTATGGAAGATAGTCATAAAACGGAAAAGTGTCGAAAAGAAAGAAAATGATTTTGTGGAAGTACGTCATAAAAATGACTGTGTCGTCTGAGAACAAGAAAAGGTGATATTTGCGTGCTGTAATTTGAGGTAAGAACGTCATATTGATAATATGTGTCTAATTTTCACAAAAATACTTATAGTTTTTGGTTATAATTTTATGGTTACCGTGAATTAATTTGTGTTTTGTCGTTTTTCTTTATAAACACAGTTGTGTTTTTAATAAATTGTGTCAAATTTCCGATTTCTTTTTTTCAAAAATATTACTTTATTTCACGTATAACACCTATTAATTATTTTTACTATTCCGAATTAAACTAAAAGCCTGCTAGGGATTTGTAATTAAAGTTTATATACAGGGTATATTCTATTTAATTGACCACTATTGCTATTTTGGGATTGGTAAAAGTTACAAGGTCGTTTATATTAGAAAAAAGCTGCCTTTTCTTTATTCTTTTTTATGCTCTGTTTACAGTGTTGTCAAATTTCTGTTAGTTTCTGAAATACAGGATAATTTGTAAAAAATGGCAAAATATTTTTTGTCGAATATCTTAAAACCCTCGTTATAATAATTATTATAATTGTAAAATTCGATTCTAGAAACAAAGATGGGGGAGCGTGGCAAGTTAATGCTACAAATTGCATTAGATAAAAATGCAGGAGGCGATACCTGGAGAACAGTTGAACTTGGAGGAGAATGTAGCGAGTCAATAGCAAGCTGTTCTGGTAATAGAGGGAATGACCATGATAGTCCGCTGAACCATGAACTCATTGATCCAATACCGAGCTGTTCTTCTAACACTGGAAGCAATGATCCAATAACGAGTGAAAGCAATGATAAAAATTAGTATCTTTGTCTCTTTTACAGAAAAAATCATGGTTTTGAGTTTTAAAAAAATTGAAAAAACTTACTTTTTATAAAATATTATTGCTTATTTATTTTTTTAGGCGACGTAAATCCATCATCCTCTAATTTGAACCATGATACCAACGATGATAATTCAGGTAGTAGCTTTTCATCAACAATTTCAGAAGATGTTACGACTGGTGACTCCAATTATAGTCCATCAGAAAGTGACGCTGAAAAAGTGACGATGAATCATCAACACCATCTGAATCGCTAGTTCCTTCACCATCCGAACCGCAAGTTACCTCAGTATCCCTTCCTAACGATAAATTAATTCAAGACAAAGAAGATGCCATGGAAATTAATGAGGATAAAAAATCAAGAAAACGTAAAGCTGATAAATCAACATGGAAGAAAAATTTGGCGAAAAAGTTAAAAGATCAGGGAAAAGCATACGTATCGTCTACATTTAATAAACCAATGAACGAAAGATGAAATCCCCTTGCAACAATATATGTAGGCTTAAATGCTACTTAAATATACCAAATAAAACAAAAGAACAGATTTTTCAAGAAATCTGGGGTCTAGGTGATGCTAATAAACAGCGCGACTTTATATCCTCCTGTATGGTTGCAATAAAACAAAGATATCAGTACCATGTCCATGAAGTTAAGCGGCGCCATAATAATGCATTTTATTTCACGTTAAATGAAACTAGAATTCGAGTCTGCAAAACATTTTTTAAATCTACATTGGCTATCAGAGACAGACCAATTCGTACAGTTGTAGAAAAGCGCTCGGAAGTTGGAATATTAAAAAATGATCGTAGAGCTTCTTTTTCTTGAATTAATGTATCGTTAGGAAGGGATGATGAGGGAACTTGCGGTTCGGATGATGAGGGAACTTGCGATTCAGATGATGTTGATGATTCAGCGTCACTTTCTTCAGCGTCACTTTCTGAAGGACTATAATTGAAGTCACCAGTCGTAACATCTTCTGAAATTGTTGACAAAGAGCTACTACCTGAACTATCATCGTTGGTATCGTGGTTTAAATTAGAGGATGATGGATTTACGTCCCCTAAAAAAATAAATGAGCAATAATATTTTATAAAAAATAAGTTTATTAGATTTAGAATATACTAACTTTTATCATTACTTTCGCTTGTTATTGGATCATTGCTTCCAGTGTTAAAAGAACAGTTCGGTATTGGATCGATGAGTTCATGGTTCAGCAAACCATCATGGTCACATCAAAGCCACCCAAAACTTGATGAAAACAGGGAAGAAATGATACGTCACATAAATAGCATTCCTCGGATCAAAAGAATATCCCTTATGGAAAATATCTTATTTATTACCATGTTTTTCGCAACAACTTTAACATTTCTTTTTTTACCCCTTAAAAGGACCAATATGCGTTGTGTGTTTCCTATGAAAATGCCTCAGACACTCAAAAAGGAGAACTAATGACTGAATATGAAAATCACATCATGGAAAAGGATTTGTCTCGTTTGGAAAAAACAACGATAAAATAAGAATTAGCAACAACTACATAGTCGCTGTATTTGATTTACAGGCTGTTCTGCCATGCCCTATGGGAAATGTGTCACTTTTCTATTACAAGTCTAAATTAAATTTTTTAATTTTACAATCTATGAAATGAAAGTAAACACAAAATTAGACGAATGTTTCTGCTATGTCTGGAATGAGACATCTGGCAATCGAAGGACAAATGAGATTGGATCCTGCTTGCTGAGCTATATAGAGCAAACATGCACAAATAGACCTGACGATGATCTTGAATTCGTTTTTTTCTCAGATAATTGCGCTGTATGCACTAAAAAAGTATCCCAATATTAAATCGATGCCATAAATTACTTAAAATCAAGCACCATATACCTACCTAGCGAGTACACAACTTTAATTCGAGGTGAAAAAAAAAAAAAAACTGGCAATACCATTTCAAGTAAAGGAGCCAACCTTTAAGGATTTTTTCGATCTAACACTTTTAAATTCAAAGATTGAAAATTTAAGCAATATCAGGATTATAAAAATTGAAAAAATTATCCATTTACAGTTTTTTATAAAACGTCGTACTCTCAGGTAGACTTTTCAGAAATTACTGTGAAAACAGTTCGCGGCAGGAGTAACATAGCATTGACACTGGAACCAGCATACAAATCTAAAATAAAAATTAGTGAACGTAAGCGGTCAGATCTTCAAGATTAACTAAAAAATGCAGGCATTCCCTCAAGTTATGCAGATTTTTACAATAACCTGTAAGTGCTATTTACTGTTTGTATCTTGTTCTTAATATTTTTTGTTCTTTCTTAATAAAAACAGAACAAAAATGTCATTTTTTTTTGATTATGTCGACTTTATTTTAGTGTCATTATTAAAACAATTTAAATATTTTTTTAAAAGAACGTCACACTCTAATATATGACGAAAACTTCAAAAAAACAGAATAAAAAGTCATATTTTTTAGAGAAGAAAGACAATCATAATTTTATCAACCAAGAGTAAATCTCATTATTACCACTTACGGTACTTAGAAGCACTAAACCATAATAAAAAGGTTTAATTATTCTGCATTGTTAAATTAGTATAAGAAAGTATTGAATTTTGAGTTATGACCTTCTTCCATTTAGGGAGCGATATGTAACTTCTTATCTATTGCATTATATTTTTATAAAACCAACCTAACTCTGGTAAGCGGTTTATTAAATTGAATCGATTATTTGGAAAAGGGCACATTTACTTAACACACAATTTTACAGTAGAAAGAAAAAAAATATTTTTATAATATACCGGGTGGTCCTTAAGTAATTGCACGTATAATTATGGTAGATTCCCCACCTTAAAATATTACGATTTAAACCAACTTGCTTCAATAAAATGTTGCTAATAAGGAATATACAGGGTGTTAAAGGTTAAATTTTAAGATTCCTTTTTTGCTATAACTTTAACGTTTTTGGATATGTATACATAAAAATTTAGAATTAAAGGTTTTTGGGCGGCACGAATAATCATAATCTGGTACCTACTACGATCCACTTTTAGAGGGCGCTACATATCCTACATTTGTAGCTTAAATGTGCCCTAATTTTTTTTGCTGTTTAAGTTAGCGGTATTTTTGTAAAAGAATATTAAAGCCACGGTAATTTAATAAAAGGAAAGTATACTTGTTATTAACCTTAAAACTAAACGGTTTACGATATACTCGCATTTAAGGGATCAGCTGCATGATTATTATAGAAAACATTTAGAAAACAAATTTAAAAAAAATAAGCTAATTAACATTATAACTTTAATTATGTCACATTAAATATTCGATACGTCCTCCATTCTCGTCGATGCATTTATTTACACATTTCATAAAAGCTCGTCTCATATTAAATAACTTCATTGGATCAAAAAACCCGCTGCTTTATTTATTTCTTCCCAAAGTTGGTCGCTGATATTTATGGAATCCTTATAAACAAGTTGTTTCATTGCACCTTATACACCGAAATCGAGAGGATTCAAGTCTGGACTACGTGCTGACCAACGGAAATGACTACCACGATCAATCCAGCGTTCAGAAATGTTGTTATTTAAATATGTTTTGACTGCTCTCGTATTATGCGGTAGTGCATCATCTTGCATGAACCACATATTTTGTCTTATATTCAGTGGCAATTCTTTCAATAGATTAATGAAATCATTTTGCCAAAATTGTAAGTAGTTCTCACAATTCAAATTACGGGGTAACTCGTATGGTCCTAAAAAAGTGTTACCAATGATACCACACCATACGTTTATTTTGAATTCATATTGGAAATGCATTTCTCGTTTACCATGTGGATTTTCAATATCCCAAAGATGATTGTTCCTTAAATTAAAAACACCATGGCGGATAAAGGTAGCTTCGTCGGTAAATAATATTCTGTCGAAGATAGTGTGATTAAGATTTTGCTTGTTTCGGATAGCACTTGCAAATTGGTATCTTAACGGTAGATCTGCTGGCAATAAATTTTGTACCGGAGTAAAATGGTATGAGTGATACTTCTTGAGGTGCAGTCTTTTTAAAATAGAAGTTTTACTGATTTCTAAAGCAGCAGATAAACGCCGTGTATTAACTTGAGGATCATTTTCAATGCGAACCATTATTTCGTCATTTTTATTAGGCATAATTATTCTTGGTCAGCCTAAATTATCACGCTTAGGACGAAACGAACCACATTCTCCTAAATTCCTAAATAGATTTTTCAATGTTTGATGATTAGGTTGCTGCCTGTTTGGATATCTTCTCAAATATTCTCGTTTCGCAACACGCCCATTAAAATTTTGCTGACAGTAAATAGCAACCATATCTTTTATATCAAACATATTTACATGAAAAATAAGTGTAATTATTATTATAAAAATGTGTACATAGCTATTATGTGCACGCAATTTTATTTATATATGGATTTTTTTAATCCCTAAAATTGTGTGTTAAGTAAATATGCTCTTTTTCAAATAACCGATATGATTATAGTTTTAAAAATTTAGTTCTTCGAAAATACATAATTGTAAAAATTTTAATTTTCTATATGTAAGAAGATTAAGAATTTTAAAAGATGATATCTAAGATATTGTTTTGTAACGTTCATTTTTGGCCCCACGAATTAATAAAATTGTTTTGGCTTACCTCGTTAATCATACGAAAAAAAAAGGGTAAAATCGTATTGATGATATCACTATTATTTTTGTCATTAACTAATTTCACCTGTATTCTAACTTTCGGACATCATTATTACAATTAATTTCATCTCACCACTAAGTAAAAGGATAGTAGTTCTCCTAAAAATAGACCAAGTTTCGTTGTAAATTTATACATATTATGTATTATAGTCTCACCTTTGGGTAATTAATTATTTACGATACCATTCTTTAGGATTTTCTTTGTTTATTTTTGTTTATGGCTGTCAGTGTTAGGATAATGTTTTTTAATTATGACAGTGAATGACATAAACGTCATTTGACGACAGAACACCGACAAGTGTCATGTTGGTGGGACGTTCCAATATCGGGCTCAGAACCCGAGGTAAGGTAGTTTCACAATGAGCGATTTTAAGTCGTGAGGGATTTTTTTTTGCGATCGCTGTTGTATTAATTTGTGTCGGGAACAGTTTCCCAAATGTAGTTATACTGTATATAAATATAGTTTTTAGGGTACCTTTCGTAAATGGTCTCTTAAGTTATATAGTGGGGAGTTCTTGAGGATGAATTTCTGAACCCACTTGACATTTATCGGAAAGGGATTTCGGCCATTTTGGACGGCTGACGTATTGTTTCTGTCAGTGGGTGTTGAGTCACGTGAAAGACGATTTTTGTGTCGAAATAGAATTTTCTATATATTTAGCCCCATCGGCTTACCCTAATTAAAGGGGATTTTAGATTCTACTTCATGGTTAATTGTGGGTAAATGGACATTTCGTATTTTGAGAGGAATTTTAATGTATTGGTAAATTCCTATGGTCATTGGTCCAGCCCATATCTAGTATAGGATTTTAACGCAATAATTGGAAGGTCACAGCATTTGGAGTGTGGAATATTGTTGTGCTGTGGATCATCTCACGTGTTTCTCATCCTTGGAAGGCTACCAAGTTAACCCTTTACGAAAAAGGTATGTTTTGTATATATTTGGTTATGTTACGCACCATGTGGCTGTCAATTTCTTTTATGTTATGGCATGGTGTAACAGAATTTTAATTATTTGAGCTCATAATACTGTTTATGACTCACTGTTGAGCCAATGTAATTTTTCTTCATTCTAGATGCTGAATAGTTTCTAGTTTATGTACATTTTTTGGGTAATCCTATAGTTCGGGATACTTGAGTCAATGTGTATTGACATTTTTCTTTGTAATATTTTAAGGGTTTCACCCAGGGGGTTGTTAGCCCAAGATTCGTCGACAATTTTCACCCAGGGGGTTGTTAACCCAGGATTCGACGACAGTTTAACACAGGGGGTTGTTAGCCCAGGATTAGACGACAGTTTCACCCAGGGGGTTGTTGACCCAGGATTTCAACAGTTGTACACAGAGGGTT